CATCGGCTGTGGCCGGAATACCAGAAAATACTACACTACTTATATGATTTATCTGGGTCACCTTGGAAACAGCATTTGTGTGCAGGCAAGCGTCACCCCTCCTCCTCCTGTAGCTCACGCCAGCGAGCGAACGCTGGACCAATGGTGATCCTCGTCCGGGCTTTACATTTGTCACTATGCTTTTTCTTTTTTTTTTTAGTGTCCTCTGACAAAACCTTTGCCATCTTCCTTGTGGCTGTTGGTTCGGCCATGACGAAAACATACAGACGGCAATCAAACGCGAGTTGAGCACTCACGTCAGAATCTGAGGAAGTTGTGGGTGGTGGGGGAAGTGACGTATGCCGTAAAGCGGTTGAATTTTGTAGTTCTTTTTGTGCTCGGGTTCCTACCCGAAACCCGAAGTTACATAGTGCTAGGAAAAGCGATACAAACACCTTCAGGCTACGGCAGACGTGTCATTCAACCTATTGTAAGTCGATGTACCATCTCAATGGGTTTTGGTAATATATTATAAAGGTTGAAAAGTTCCACAGTGTGCCTTTAAGTATAATTAATCCATATTAAAGCTATTAAAGAGCAGTGAATGCTTTTCTCTTTTTATTTTGTTGTTTGATTAATATTAAGTTTACAGACGGCATTAGTTTTATTACGCACTGTCACTTTAAGACCGAGTGCGCAGATCCAATTACACTGATGCACATCCAATATTCTCACAACTGTACATTCTGTAAAGACATAACCGACGGTGTTTACGTGAATACTCTCTAAAACGGACATTTAGACATAACGTTGTGTGTATTTGTCCATTCAGACGCGAAAGAGAGCTCAATTCAGTCCTCGCGCGCTGTCTGTCTATATGTGCAGGCCAGGGCTGCACGCTTCGGGTCGGGACCGTATCGTCTCGTTTTCGTCTGTGAAAAAATTTTGTTGACGAAAATAATTACGCAAATTATTCGTCAACGAAATTAACACTGCCCGCCTGTTTGAGTCCTTTCCACTGTTCATCGATCGGTGCTCCGCTTACTGAGCTCGACTCGCCTTCATTTGCAGGTTTAAAAAATCCTTTTAGCTTTGGAATCTTTTTGAACAATTCCTTCTCACTGTTTTCTTTCTGTCGCGATATTTTTAGTTTATTTCTTCCTCAACATTTTGATAGCTATCATCAGCCTCTGTGACTAGCATAAATTTGAATAGACTACTAGAGAAGATGACAACTGTTTCTCTACATTCTGATAGGCTGTCATATCATGCTTCCCACGTGGGTCACTTGTAAATTGGATCAATCAGCAGCCAAAAACATGAATATGAAGTGATTGACAGAAAATTCGACAAATTACAAAACAATGTTTTTTAGGGTTTTTTTGGCTTATGATAGGCCCCTTGGCTTCAGCCCCAGTAAGCCCGTGCATTAATGCGGGCCTGCGCAACACACACTGCAAACGGGGTATGTGTGAAACGGGCGTTAGATGATGGATCCACCTACAGGTCTTAGAAACTTAGATGTGTTTAACAACTCTTTTTTTCGTACAACAGCAGCACTCATCTTGTTCGTTTATAGCGGTTGCGGATGAACAGCCGTAAACCGGAAACTGACATGCCGACTTCTGACAATAGCGGAAGTTCGAAATTACGCTTGTGCACATAGCCTATTATTCAAATTATCAGTGTTACTGTTAAGCATGATAATATGGTTAAATATCACACTGAAGTAGGCTGATTTAAAAATATCATTTACTTAAAATAAAAGTTCTTCTTTTGGCAAAATAACATTTACTTAATAGCCTAGTCTGTCTTACTAAACTAAAACTTTCCAATTGAAAACCTTCAAACGTCAAGCTTTTAAAAATACTTCTAACTTTCTAGTTAGGCTTTTTCAAGAGAACTTAAAGTTTGTCTACAAACTTTTTTATCTAATTGTAAAGTGTTACCGAATTATGGTAAACATCATAGTCTACACATGTTACTGCCTGCCCTGATTCAAGCAGATCGTGGCTGTTACACTACGAATAAAAAATTCGTAGTGAAGGATTACATTACGAATAAAAAAAGATTGAAAATAGTGCACGTTTGTGCGGGTATAGTGAATATTTTCAATTTACAACAAAACTTGTTAATTATTCAACAAGAGAAATAGGCAGAGTTATTCATCATTGTGCAACACAATTCGGATACCACATGACAACTTACTTACAGTGGTTGACTTTTTCGTGAAAAAGGAGTGAAGAGTTTTTTTGCCGTTTTGAACTCTATGAAACTGATGGATTCGGCGCGGGTGCGAGCATGGACGTGTCATAAGCTAATGCACGAGTGACTGATTACCATGGAAGCGTGAAAGTCACGTATGATAGACTATCCTTGACTCTTTGGATTTTAAATCTCGATGTAGGGCACGCTATACACACCCGCGAAAACCTCAGCTTGTCATAGACACATTTGCTCTTTGAAAAAGTGCGGGGGACGAATTTACATTTTATAAAAAATGTTTTTATTTTTGTAATAAATGTATCTTCATTTTTATAGAACCCTCCCTCCCTTTTAATTTTAGTTATTTATTATTTTATTTATTTACTTATTTAATGTTGAATATTTGATATTTAAATAATATTACTTGAATAACTTATTAGGAATTATGTGTCATTATAAGAGTTTGATTTATAAATAGGCCTATGTGAATGTTTAATTTTTATTAATATTTATTTATATATGTTTTTTTTTATCTTTTTCCCCTTTTATCATATTCCCAGCATATGTAAAAGTGTCTAACTATGTACTTACTGGTTATTGTTCTAATTATGTGTTTTTAGACCATGTGTTGGTGGGTATTATCACAAAAAAAAGTAGAAGGAAACATATTTATTGGGGGAAAATATGATGTCTTTAAAGGAACAGTCCATTTGTATAATTGTGTTAAATGTGTTTGAATTGAAAAACATAATAAAGTACATAATATATATATATACAGTATATGCTAAAATATTTGTAATTTGGACATTACATGTGCCTTATTTAGAATTTTAAACCTACAAGTGTATTTTTATGATAGCAATAACTATAAAGGGACTATTGTAATGGGGTAAATCAAATGTAGGCTAATATACTGTAGGTCAATTACTAAGCTCAGATTCATCTTACTAGTTACAATTTATACTGTTCTTTTAATTATTTATTTTTTTAATTGTGTGATTTTAACTTCTGCTTAAAAAAGCTTTTTATTAGATTGTAATTTTCTCTGATCTTCTGATAACCATAAAATGTACTACAGCTGCCAAACAAAACCAGAGAGATATCATAAATCTTTAAAACAATCTAATTAAATCTTGCGCACAAAACATTCAGCCAGTAAGAAAAGAAAACCTGTAAGATATATATTCTTTTCTTTCTATCTATCTATCTATCTATCTATCTATCTATCTATCTATCTATCTATCTATCTATCTATCTATCTATCTATCTATCTATCTATCTATCTATCTATCATTGTAGCCTTATTTAAGTTGATTTCCTATTCTGTGTGTTTATTTTTGGACTAATAGTGTGTAAGACTGGAAAACTGGAAACAGGGTGAAGAGATATACCACTGGTCTATGAGACAAAGGACCTTGGCAAATTAACATTTGAACTCTCACACACACACACACACTTCTTCCCCGCATCCCCCACTCTCGCAGTGACACATAAAAACTCACATAAGAATATCTATGGTTTGATGTGAAGGATTATCATTGAGTATTATGTTTGGTATCATTTGAAATGTCTCAGGAATGAGTGGTACAAATGTCTCATTCCCAAAGTATAAAACAAAAGGAAATAAGGTTTTTAAGAGTTTAGGGATATCTGGCACACAAATGAATGTGGTCTCTAGGCATGATCCTACTCCCAGAAGGTCTGAACTCAATGCTAATTTCCACTGTTAGCAAATGGTACCATGTAAATCAACTTCTGCCCCCAGTAAGTCTGGGGGGGGGGGGGGGGGGGGGGTGAACAGTAAATTTCCACTGTGAAAACAGGTTTACATATGAAATGAGGTCTGGCTATTTAATGGAATGCAGCAAGGGATCGTGGCTTTTTCTGTATTTCAGATAGCCCATGAGGTAGCTCATGTAGTTCGTAAATGTTGGGTTTGCATCTATTTCTCTAATCCTAGAACATTTGATGATTTGCATTGATTATCTTTCAATTGATTATGGAATTGTTATAATACATTTACCTGACATAATAAATTGTTATATTTGATTATTCTAACAGACTTTTACTTTATTTTCATTGGAGTTAAAAGGAATAGTCAAACATTAACGCATATTTAATGATGCACAGATATCATTGAAAAACACTTTCATTTTATGGAGTCAGATGAAACGAGTTAATACATAAGATAGAATGTATTGCATTTAATTATAAATCCCTTGGCCATTGGAAGAGACCTAGGCGCATGTGACCTTCACCGCTAATTTGAATGCCGCCCTTGGATCGAATTAGTCGGACTTACAAGTGGTTAATAAAGTCCAATAATGGTATGAGAGAGTGTCAGTGGTAATATCTTGTTTTATGGAACAACCCTCCGGTTTCACAGACAGGACTTAGATTAAGCCAGGATTAGTCCTTAGTTCAATTAGGACCTTAGCTTTTATAAATGCTCCTTAGGAAAAAAAAAACATTACTGGTGTGCATTTTGAGACAAAACATTGACACTGACGTATTTTAAGATATGCCAGTGCAAGTTGCTTTCGGTTAAAACAGCTCAAACATGCATTTTAGTCTGGGACTAGGCTTAAGCCTTGTCTGTGAAACCAGTAGTATATCTGTTGTGCAGCGAGTATAAATTCACTTATTGCATTCCCTATTTGTAAGGTTCTTTTATTAAAGTGTAAGATAAGTTATTTGCATGGCTTAGTGCTGTATTTTTATCTACAGTACATAAAGTGAGCCACCCTGAAAAGTATATCTGCCATGGTCTACGTTGGTGAGGAATGGCAATCTATAAATGCACATAAAACACCACATCAATATGAAATACATTTATTTAAATCAATGTCAAAAAAAGAAATCAAAGCACACATTACTTTAAAAACAAATCAAAAGCCAGCCAGACACTGCTTGAAATGTTCAACTAAACCATGGAGTAGAACAAAAAAATATATATTTGACACATCAGGACTGATCTAACTTGGCAAATGAAGTGTCAAGGACTGACTATGAATTATTGGTTTAGCGGTTATCGGAGGAGAAGTTATCTCTGCATTATAGTCTAGATCTGATTTCATTCTTCTCCTGCTCAGGCACAAAACGGTTGATATTTATCCCAGGCTGAGCTACAGCCTACCGCAAAATACCACCAAGAAAATAAAGGGAAGAAAATATACTAAAAAAATTATCTTTAAAAGCTGGAAAATTATTGTAATTTTGATTGTGAAAAAAATGCAGTGGCTACAATATATCTTTATCTTCAAGATAGACAGATCCACATTTCAAATTACCACCCTAAAGAAAAAAAAGGACATTTTTAATTTTTCTATTTTTTTTCAGATGAAAAGAAATGAGTCAAAGTCACTCAGGATTTTTTTTTTTTTTTGATGAATGAAGGACACAGCGTCTTCTCTGTACAAATGATTATTGATAATCCAAACATGATGGGGAAAAAAACATTTCTGATCATTTTATAAACATGAACATGTTTTGAAATGTCCCCTTTCTTTATGTAGGCATTAAGAAAGTCCTGAACCCTCTCCCAGACAGTCTAACCCCCCTTTGCCACATCACAGACAGAGCTTTTGCTCCAGACACAGATCCTCATTGTGGAATCTCCTTCAAAAAAAAAAACAAAAAAAACGGTAAGCAAAGAGCAGGGGGGGAGAACATTTTCAAGACTGTTCTGGAAGAAAAGGCAGAGGCTGCATCTCTCTTTTTCTGTCAAGTCTGTGTTTTAGTTGAGGAGTCTGTGGTGTTCTGCCTTATTGATTGTTTGGCCAATAACTGTAGAGAGGAACTGGAATGTTGGCCAGCTGGGCAACAGTTCTTCATTTCGGCAATCTGAAAAAGAAAGAGAAGAAAAAAATCATGACATCCGTCTCAACTAGGGCTGTCAAAATTGCTCAAAAATGACGTTCGAATATTCCCTCTAAAAAACCCCCATATATTCGAACTATTCGAATATCTGGTTGCGCATTTTGTCAATGACGCAATGCGCATTACGCATTACGTCAATAACAGGACAAATTAATACAAAGAGACACAACTACTTGTATAGTTAGTTTATTTAAGTTTAAACATATTTGACAACGTATTAACTTACACAAAACCAAGTAAATCAACTAATGGCCAAGACCGCAGACCTTACTCTCGCTCGCACTCGCAGGCACTCTCTCTCTCTCTCGCTCTCTGCGCATAACGGTTTAAATGAATAACAATAAACAAATGTTGAGTGGTGATCAGGAGTTTTGTGCAAGCAATTTAAGGTCGCGACTCTTGTCCTAAATATAGCAGGCTTCATTCGGTGATTGAAACAAATATTATTAACATTAATTGAAGTTTTACAGTATATAGAACCGACATTGAACGCTCCGAGCGAGCTGTGCTGTGGTAAACTGCTGCTAGCCTGCTAGTACTATGGCTATTTCGAGGGCGTCTGGCCACGCCCCCATTGGCGGGCTCTGACGTGTCTGATGTAATGCTAGCTCATTGGCGCACACGTTGGAGGCGCCCGTGCCATTGGATGTGCAGTTGACGCAGCACAGCTAATGAGTGAGCCAGACACTCACTGTGCTATCTGTCTGTGCAGCTGGAAAATGCGTTTTACATTTTAAGCTTCAGAATTTTGCCACTCGCAAAGCAGACAGCCGCGCCTCTGCTACCGCGGGCGTGTTTTTCCACATGATTCGAATATTAATTTTCACCTTCGAATTTCTGTTTTTTTAAAACTATTCGAATATATATTCGAATTTAGAATATTCGTTGACAGCCCTAGTCTCAACTAACCCCTTCAGCGAGCTGCTAAACCAAAAAGTAAGTTCAGCATAAGAATAGATACAAGTCTTGCCCCAAATGCAGAAATGTTTGAACTCGAGCAGGTGGTGCTACTTTTAAATGGTGCAACAAACACCATTAAGCCCAAAGTATACTTCGGCCGTCCAAATGTAATTTTTTTCATCAGGAGGGTCTGTGGACGTCTGCACACCCCATCCGCGTGCTCTCCAATTTTTGTGACCGCGGACAGTGTTTGAAACAAAATCCACTAGATAGTGCACATATGCCAAACGCGTGTTTCTGCACATAAGGAGAGGAACGCGAACAATAAGGCATACCTGGGCCTTTAAGATGAATGGGAAAGCTAATGATAGTTGTCGGCATATATCTCCACCGATATTAGGGATGATCTGTTATTAAAATTTTGGCTAATACTGTATGTTATTTTCATATTATAACTGATAAGAGACCAATATTAAAATTCTATACTATTTTATTAAAATTAGGTTAAAATAAAGCACTGAAAAACAATCAGTTTAAAGGCTACAATTGAATTTAGGCATTACAGCATTTTAATGTACAGTGTGAAAAATGGATGCTTGAAATTTGCTAAAGATTACATTTAACAGTGTTAAATTATTACTGTTTGAGCGTTAAATTACGGCAAATGTAATCTGAATGGAAAAACAGGATAAATGAGTATGTACAATTAAATATTCAATTTCAACAGATACAGATAAATCATTTAAAAACATTCCGCTATATCATGGATGTAGAGTACTTAATGGTGCATGTACAAATTCCTAATGAATTTCTGATCAACTACCTGGCTCAGAGCTGCTGCAGTGATGCGGTTGTGTTACAGCAGGATGCAGTTTGACTTCTTTTTCGCTCTCTTCTTCTCCACCGGCGTCTTTCTGTTTATCTGTCTTACCAGGTCATAAAAGATCTGATATACACACAAAAAAGACTTCTATTAGAGAACTGGCTTTGTGTACTTGGTAGTGTTTTTATCTTGCTTTGGATAAAGTGCGGTGAACTGTGTCTCACCTCGTTGACATTGATCTTTGATTTGGCAGAAGATTCTAGAAAGGCACAATTACTCCATTGACGAGCAAGATTCTGACCCTGCTCTTTCCCGACCACCCTCTCATCCTCTAAATCACACTTATTTCCAACCAAGGTCATTGGCACCTAGACACAAATAGAGAGAGACATCCGATGAGTGTGCATACTGCGTTTGAATTTGGTTTAGCAGAAATCACACTCACTGACAGTTCAAAGAATTGTAATTGATTTTAAAAAAGCATGGACAGAAAACATCAGTGTCTAATATAAAGGCACAAAACATCCCCCATGTACAGCAAGTACTCATGTTACATGAATTCATATATACACAACTGTTCAAATGTTTTGTTTTAAGAAATTAAAACTTTTTATCAGCAATAGCACATTAAATTTAAATGTTCATCCAAGAATCCTAAAAATTGTATCACAGTTCCACAAAAACTGTTTTCAACATTGATAATAATCAATCAGCATATTAGAATGATTTCTGAAGGATCATGTGACACTGAAGACTGGCCAACACTTCCTTCGTTGGCCAGAGGAGAACTGGCCCCCCGACTGAGTCTGGTTTCTCCCAAGGTTTTTTTTTCTCCATTCTGTCACCTGATGGAGTTTTGGTTCCTTGCCACTGTTGCCTTGGCTTTTGGCTTGCTTAGTTGGGGACATTTAACATTTAATATTCAATAATATTATTGATCTGCCTTACTTAAGGTGGACGTTGACGCAATTTCTTTTAGAAACAAACTTTGTTATATTGTTATATTGTTTTTGTTATATTGTTTTCATGTTATCACTGTGAAGCGCTTTGATACAATCTGTATTGTAAAAAGCGCTATATAAATAAAGGTGACTTGACTTGAAGACTGGAGTAATGATCCTGAAAATTCAGCTTTGGCATCTCAAGAATAAATTGCAATTTAAAATATATAAAATATTTTGCGGGAAAAAATGGGTTGGGCAGGTGGATAAAAATTGGGCTGGTTTCGGATCAGTTCGGCGGGTTTTTGTAGCCGAAACACAGGCACTTCAGATCCTTCTTTCGGCGACCGTCTCACTCACTCACTCACACACACACACATCTCTGGCTGACGCGTGCCCCCTAAACTCACATCAGACACTCCCTCCCACTACCTTCAGGGGTACTATAAACACGGTTTTGCAATCCGTCTCCTAAGTTTATAAACTGTACACAAGATTTTGACGCATATCAAGCAAGTGTGTGTGCAGAGTGTGGAGCACGCCTACCTGTATTTATTTGTATTTATTTTTTGTGTTTGAATAAAGGGTGGCAGTCTTTCATAATCTGTGTGTTTCATCATAGTGTTGTGGACTAGCCTATACTGGAGAGGTATTTGTTCTCCATTTGAGTGAGATGTTTTTAGGTTGCTAATTGAGCAGTGCTTCCATATATTTTATTAGTATTAGTTCAAGAATAAAATAGAATAAAATAAAAATATCGGATTGATATCGGTATCGGCAAATAGCCAAAGCTGCGGAATCGGTATCGGAAGTGAAAAAGTGGTATCGGGACTAGGGGTGTAACGGTACACAAAAATCACGGTTCGGTACGTACCTCGGTTTTAAAGTCACGGTTCGGTACGTTTTCGATACAGCAAAAAGTAAGAAATGCCAGAGAATTTCTTATTTGTTAAAAGAAAAAATATTTTTTAAATAAGTGAGTTTTCCTACATCTTGAAACTTTCAGGTTTATAAATGGGGGTCATCTGTCATCACATTAAAAATAACATTTAAATATATGAAGAGTTTAGATGCAAAAGCCATTTGAAATTTACTTCTAGAATGATCATTTTTATCAAGCTTGTATATTTAAGTTCAGTAATTTCACTTAAATGGCAATGAAGATTGCCTATTAATTGTCATTTGAGTGAAATTACTGAACTTAAATGTACAAGCTTCATAAAAATGATCATTCTAGAAGAAAATTTCAAATGGCACTTATAGAGGCTTTTGCATCTGAACTCTTCATATAGGCTATTTATTTATATAATATTTGAGTTTTGAAGTGCTGGAAAAAGATGTGTGAAGTACTTGAAAGCATTTCACTATTCCAGCCAAACTGGTTACAGTTAGTGTTACTATATTAAATCCATGGTGAATGTCGCTGGTCTGTGGACGTAAAGTATTACTAGTTCATTCACGGCACAATATTTCTCCTGGTGTCCACGTCAGCGCTGTTTGATCTAATAGAGATCTACGGTTAATAACGGAGAAATTTGAATGCTTCTCACTAGATCTCGCAGCGATGTTATTACTTCAGTGGCGAACTCAAATGTTTTATTTACTGGATCTCTCAGCGCTGTGTTGTAACGGTTGTAACAGTGTCGCTTGATCGAGATTGGCTCCCGCTGCACAGATGTTGCTGCTCTGAGCTGATAAACGATCCGTGAAGCACAATAGCGCAGTTTCGTTCCGCTTTCATTACGCTTGCCATTTGATGTTGCGCAACGTTGTGGTGATCGCGCCAGCGCGAATTTTGTCAGCAGGAAAAAATGGTCCAAGGAATCGTTCGGTTTGTATGCGTACCGAACCGGAAGCCTCGTACCGAAACGGTTCAATACGAATACATGTACCGTTACACCCCTAATCGGGACATCCCTAAATTTGTTAATGTAATTTGCATAAAGAACCGAAATTGTGCAAGCTTTAATACAGAATGTGGGTGCAATGGTAAAGAAGCATAGTGTGCCACAGTGTGAAGGCAGCTTCTGCCAATTTAATGCGTGTCTCTGAGCTCTTCTGGTCTCAGTAAAAATCTAAATAGTTTTGTGCCTTTTTTGGTTTGCCTTTGCTGGTTAATACTTGCTATGGCTGACAATAGCTGGCCTGGCAGGTTCATGATTTCTTTTCTTTTTACAAAATACACAAAATAAAGTTGACATTAAAAATCACAATGATTTGCCAAAGCATGCACCACAAAAAAAAAAAAAAAAATTTTATTATAATGTGACTCACATCCTCTGTGTCCTTCACCCTTAAAATCTGCTCCCGTAGGTCCTGCAGGTCATTGAAGGTGGACTGTGCTGTGATGGAGTAAACCAGAGCAAAACCCTGACCATTCTTCATGTACAGGTCCCTCATCGCTGTGAACTGCTCCTGTAGGCAAATAATCAATAATCTATTGAGTTCGCATGGAAGACTAAGGCTACGTTCACACCATCAGTCCAAATCCAATTATTGTGTATCCGATTGGAATCTGATCTAAAATTATTAACTGTCCACACTGTATATCGCAACTGTTCGGATCCGATTTGTGTCAATGGCGCTATTCCATTTTCCGGAATATCTGCATTGGGTTCTATGGCAATGACGTTGCGTTGTATACGCCAACAACAACAACAACAACCGCACCATGGAGGGATTTGCAATACAGATGTTGTCCTATTTACAACATGAAAATGTGTAACCGCAGTGCTGGAATACTGCGTCTTCTGAGGCAGCGGTAGAAATGTAGGATGCTGGAATGAGCGACTTTATTCCACGCTGTTGTCTCTGCCATATTCAAAACAAGTTATCGTGACGTATTCTGCTCATGCGGCACTTTGCAACAACCCAACCTAGTCTGCAGCGACTTTCAGCATGTTTCCTATATCAACGTCTAACGTTTACGTTTTACGGAAACATAGCTTTTCCGTTCACACTTGCTAAATCTGACCGGATTTCAATCGCATTTGGACTGACAGTCTGAACATAGCCTAATTAACTAATTGGCCGGAACAGTTCATGCATCATATTGAACTCACTGTGCCTGCAGTATCCAGGATCTCTAGCATACATTGCTGCCCATCAACCTCAACTTGCTAAAAAAAAGAAAAGAAAAAAGAGGGTGTCAAGTACTGTGTTAATGTATGAACTCTATATAGAGTGTTAATTCAGCTATGCCACTTCAGCCATACCAAAAAGGTTTACTTACCTTTCTATACGAGTCTTCTATTGTGGGGTCATATTTTTCAACAAATATTCCCTGTACAAACTGGACTGTCTGTGTGAGAAAAGACCAGAATCTCATTCAACCCAAATAAATATTATTGACTAGATGGGACTAAAACCCAAAACAACAAATACAGTTATAAACTGTATAAAATGCCCATATATAATACAACAATGATGTGTACACTTAAATAATCCTGAACTTACCAATGCAGACTTCCCAACGCCTCCAGAGCCCAGGACGACAAGCTTATATTCACGCATGCTGAGGCCTGTAAGATTAAATCACAGCACACACACACACACATTCAAATCACTTATCAGTCCAATGACAGTTTGAAGCACTCAAGTCAAAAGGCTTTTGGTTCTGACGTATTAACACCACCTTTTCATAATCTGATTACTGCCAAACCATTGTCATCCCCTTCTCCTCTTTTTTGTCTAGATTGTTGTAAATTTCACTATACAGGTTTACGCGCAAACATAAATAAATAAAAAATGAATGTGCCTTCAAGTTTCCCGCATTACATTTTCCTGGTCTTCACAACAATCCAACAATAATTCCGTTTTGCAGATATACGTCACAACAATAAGGAAGAAATCATGATCTCAACTTCCATTTCATGCCAACTTTAATTAGCATGCATTAGTTATGCAGTTTGCATGGTAAAACACTCTGATATATTGCTATTTTAAATTAATTTCCTTTAAAGCACCATCACTACAGTAGTGCACATTCCCAGCAAATGTTTTAAAGGGCTATAATTTGAGATCATTCAGATTTCACTTTAAATTCCACTATAATCACAGATGCATATGCATCCAACTGACAAACAAACAGCTTATCTACTGCAAGCAGATTCAACTGATGCTATGCTAATGCACCATTACATTCAGCCTGAAGCAATTAAATCTACAAAAAGAAGCTAAATGCCGAACATCATTGGAACAAACAGGAAAACAGGTCTCATCGAAAAACCTTTCACTAGTCTTTGTCATCACTGCTATCCCACCCTCCTAAAATCCCATATTGTTCTGTAAATAAGCAAATCAGTTACTGCCAGGTGATAAATGACCATCTTATGAGACAGTGCACTTAAAGAGAATGCAATATTTTCAGTGGTTGTGATTGTGAATAACTTCTAGACAAATCTAAATAAAGAAAAGCTGTGTGAATTAAAAAATATCCACATCTCTTCCAGTCACTCCACTTAAAGTGAATCCCTATAAGCAATAAAAAGGCATAAACAAGATATGAGATTGCATATTCTTCAGACCAGTAAATAATAATAATCTACTAGTTTTACCAGACTAAGTTCCTATACCTTTAAAAATAGATTAATCCAAATAAATATACAGATAGAACCGAAACGGGTGTAAATGTGGAATAACCTATGCCCAATGTCTCCACTCGACAATTGAATAAAATTATAGTGTCACCAGAACTGTTTTGTGATCTTAACATGTCACCGAATGCAGCTCTTCTATAGCTGTAGGACTATAGACTGCATGAAACATTCCTTTACACTAACAGCTGTAATGTCATTTTGGTCACTTGTCGAATGAAGATTGCATGCCAGTGTGTAGCCTACACTAGGAGTTCATGTGTGCATCAAAACGCAGTATAAACTCACAGAGTTTAACTAGTTAACAAGCACATAGTAGTAACATATAAGCCGTGGAGATCAAATATTTCACCGTTAACAGGCGGTCAGGTGTGTGTGTGTGTGACTGTGTATGTGTGTTTTCGTCTGCTCGCAGGAAAGACCGCGGCCTGTTAACGCAGCGCTGTTTCCTATTACTTCTACAGGGCAGCGGCACTGCTGTGCGGGTTGATTCTGCTCAGTTACACGGCCTGAGCCTCATTAGCTCACGCTAGCACGTTAGCATAGTCGTTACGCGAGGTTTCGTTCAGCGATTTTCCTCCAAAACCCGGCACTCGCAGTACTAGTAAGCAACTGTCCGTGCCGGGTCCAGTGTTTCGGGGTTCGTTAACAGTTCACTCACCGTGTCCCACAGCTCGAGTAGCATGCAGGATAACACTGTCGCGCAATCACAGACAGACTCCCGTCACGCCCGCGGATGCCAACGTCACTGCAGTGCGCGGAATGCTGACCTGACACAGCCACGAGCGGGTTAAAGAGACAGCGTTAATGAAAGGTACTTAATCTGATACAAAATTCTGTGTGAGTAAGTGCAATCTCTATAAAGTCAGCTGTAAAAATCCTTGTTTATAAATTTTGAACAACTGCATAGACATGTTTGGTCAAAAGGTTTGAGAAGGTTTAGAAACCTTGAGCTATGAAATAAAATTTTATGAGATAAAATTGAGTATGCGCGGGGGGGGGGGGGGGGGGGGGGGAAATGAGACAATATTAAAGTCCCTGTAAAGGCAATTTAAAAAAAAAATTCTAAACACATTATAAATGTTAGAAATGTATTGCTAAAACATATTACAAAGACTGTGAACTGTGAACTACTGAATTGTGGAGTTAGACCGTTAAACAGTTTTTCACCATTGATATTTTACAGATTTTTTGGGCGGGGTTAAAACGGGGCTCGATGACGCACTGGAGCCCCTGAGCTACTGGACACGCCCCTACTTGATGACGCACTGGAGCCACTGAGGCTGTCCGCTCCCCTAACAATATAGAGCACATTCACATCAGTTTTGCCGCTCAATCGTGAGTTACTGTCAGCACTATTATTAGTAACACAGCCTACAGATTGCTAGCTAGCTATGCCTTTGTCACAGAAAAGCGTAGGCCTACTACCTGGATGCGATCACCGGATCACATACAAAACAGATCGGTGTCCTTATTTAAATTTCCGAAAAACGATTACATCAAGAAGAAGTGGATTCATTTTGTGAAGAGCCAACCTTGATGGAGAGCTGAGGATCACTGCCAAAACCCGCCTCTGTAAGTGATCATTTTACACGGGATAGTTTTATAAACTTTCGTCGGAGACAACTGAGACATTCACTGATAATCCGTTGTTACTGGTGAATGGGGCCGAACCGATTATATTCCGCCTCGGCATTCATCCTCCCGTCGCGCCGACAACTGGTGCCATCATCGGCAGTCAGAGCCGGATTATCCATAAGGGCACTTGGGCCAGTGCCCAGGGGCACCAACCATTCACAACCACTAGGGGGGCACCACATGAGTCAAGCTTTAAAAATATTTTTCGTAAATTGTTATATTATTAACTTGAAATTCTTGACAGACCATAAATAAATCGTTTATGAACACTAATTTAACAATAATAATAACAATAATGATTTAATAATAAATTATAAATAAATAAAGATTACATGACCACTATCACTCCCCCCTCCCCAATCTGTCAGAGTTGCGTTGGTCCACAACAAATACGTGCAAATGTGTCATTTTTTTAACGGCTACAAAAAAATGAATTAAAATCAAAACTGGACAGACGTCAATTGAGTGGTTTTGCAAAAAGAAAGTTAAAGAAAGACAAGGACGCTAGACGTAGCTACAATTTACAATGTTCCAGGTATCGAAAGATTTTTTGTGAGAACATCACGGGAATTGCTATCACTAGCAGCGCTGAGTCTGACGAAGCCGGAGCTAACTGTGGAGACGGTAACAAAGAAATGGACTTTGGGGATGTAGTTGACACCTTTGCTTGCGCAAAATCAAGGAAGGAGCAGTTCTGCTAAACTTAATACATGAAAACGTTTTACCAGATTTAGTGCTACACTTATTGTCTCTTATTTGTTCCTCACTAAATAAGGTTTTTTTTTCACTAAATGTTCGATTTTATACAATTATTGTGCACTTGTGATTTTTCTAGACTAAATTTTACTGCTGAGTTACCCACTAATCTAGTTTATATAATAGAATTTTTGTCATAGGTTATGATCATATTTTTTTTTATTTGTTGTTTTTCTTTATAATGAAGTTGTCTGTATTAAGTAGATTATGTTTAACAGAAAATAGTGATTATCAGTTCAACACACAGAGTTATAGAAATTCTACTTGATTTTTTTTTTTTTTTTTACTGCGCTGGTATCGGATCGGTATAATTCAATACTAAGAATTTTTGGTATCGGATTGGATCGGTTCAGAAGAAATGGTATCGGGACATCCCTAATATTTTCTGGTAGGCTATATCTAAGTTACCCAGGAGCTCTGTTGACATAGGCTTAGCTAACGTTAGCTACAGCTTGATGAATTGAGTTGAACACAGCAGGAGAGAACGCAACATTAGCCAGCTAGCTAAAGCTCTGGTGGGAAATTATTAGCTAACGCTACGGAGGCCATAATATTTTTGACTCATGGCTGAAGTTAAGTTTCTCCAACTCTCCCCAGGTTGGCAAAAAAAATGCATCTCAAAATGCATCAGATTGATGCTATAAAATATGGAATATTTAAAAAATTTCTTCCGGGGGGGCATGCCCCCGGACCCCCCTAGAGGGGTAATATCCTTCTCACCTTTTTCACCCCTGACCCCTTTTTATGCCTGTAGAGGTAAGACACCTGATAGATTTATTATTATTTTTGGGCAAACGTGAATTGACGCTGTCAATTAATTTATGTACATTTTTAATTGACACATTTGAATATAGGGGGCCTTTTGAGGTATAGTGCCCAGGGGCACCACACTGTCTTAATACGGCCCTGTCGGCAGTGCGTGCCCACCGTGCTAGCATCTAGTCCGGCTGTAGAGTTGAGTGTGGCGACGGCAGCTTTCCCGCGAGTGGGCGTGGTTTCAGCGCAGCCAGTGGACACGCCCCCGGCGTTTGAGAGCAGAGATTACTGCTCATTTTTTCAAGATTTTGATAGCTTATTTTATGTACTTGCTGGCTTTTTTTATCATTCAAATTTGGCAGGGTGGCTAATAACACATTTTTCTGTGGTGTGACAAACTCAGAACACATACAAAATTTTGACTTTACAGGGACTTTAAGAGTCTTTCCTATGAGCCCCATAGCAGAAGAACCTGGACTGTAACAAGTCATCAAAAATCCCACTTGCTTATCCTGGAATCACCAAACTGACGACTCAGTGCTCTTAACCCTTAAACTGCCCCTCCCCCCTCCGCATCACACATCGAGAATCCATAATATTTTTCTTTATATTTAAAACATTTTCAGACCTTTTCTTCTCATAAAATTGAATTGGTGTTATCTTTTGAACTCTTGCCATGAAAACAAACTGAGGTTTCTACCAATCTTTCAAGATTTTTCGTGTTTATTGCTATTTCAAAATAAAGGCCTAAACACGCCTAATGAATACTAAATATTCTTCTTCCAAATTGATAAATTACTCCTCTGTAATTTATTTGACAAAAACAGCCACCAAATATGAAAACTAGAGATTGTAAGCTTTCAAATGATAAAGTTTGTCAATATTACTTTAGGTTTTTACTAAGATATTATTGTTTTAAAAATATAATGGTAACTGTCCCACCTGTGGGACGGTGATGAACATTTAGACATACTAAATAAGGCTATGAGCGACCACAGATTTCCATTCAAAGTCAAGGGATAGTGGCTTATTTGGTTTGCAACTGATAAGCATGAACATTTGCAAAATGTTCCATCTTTAACTCTCTTGCACCACAAATGCTCTGCAAACGGTGTCAAAACTAAACAGAGCGACTGATGTGTCACCAGGAAATGGTGAAGTGCCGTTCATAAGGGCTGGTCATCATACTTACAAATGGCTAAATTTACACTGCAGACAATATACTTGTTATTGTTTTTACTGAAATGATTACAGAAATGATGTTATACAGATAAAAAGCGAGATGTGATGAAGATGCTGCTGCTCATGAGATTAACTAGGGCATTAACATTTCAGAATGACCCTGTTCTTGAGTCATCACAGTAATGCACAGTTGAATATAATAATGAAGAACTGTCTCCTTTAGGTGGATCATCCAAAATATACACCACTATTGTTTCTTCACAGAGGTAACAGACATCGTCCACTGTCTGGCAGAGAGAAAAAGAGAACAACAGGAGTCCATATACAGTAAAGATTCTATAGTGAGTGTATATTCAAAACTTTAAAGACTTTTAAAAGCAATAACTCAAATGTACTCATGAATGCAATTCTGATAATTTTTCATTTCTTTTTTCTTTTGATGAATTAATAAGATCAAATTGTTTTGTTGCGCAATAAGAGAGGTTTCCATACCTGGTTTAATTCTGCTGGATCTTGAACTGTATTTTCAATAGTGTGAGGTTTCAAAGCATCGACATGTGAATAATACAAATAATGTTAGATTTCATTATTGACTTGAAGAAAAATAAAGACCAGAGGGAAATAAGATTCATCACAGAGTAAAGTTTGGAAGCATCATAAACATGCTTGAGGTTATTTAAATGACTTATTTTTAATAAATTATTTTATTACTATCAACTTTCTATTATTATTATTACATTGATGCAGTTGAAGTCTTAAAGTGCTTGTGATCGTACATCTGAACTTTGCATCTGATCTTTTCCTGTAGATAAACACTAAAGCCACAAGAATCCAGAAAACGAGGAATGACAAAACCCCTGCACAAACCGCAGTCACATCTACAGGAATAATAAGAACAAGATTATACAGTATTTCACATTGCTGTAATATGTGTGCCGTGACCAGTAAGCTATAAGGACAAAAAATAAATTAATTACCAAATAACAATAAATTACCAACAAATTACCATAAGTTACCAGAGCTGTTGATTAAAGGAGTGGAACCTGACGATGGGACTGTTGATGGTAACAGTTCATATGAGTGAGAATTTTCTGTGAGAGACAAAATATCAGTATTGCTTGTAAATAGAGTAAACCTTTTTTTATAGGCAACCACAGGTGAATAGGGTAAACACAATTTAAGTAATAGATATCACCATACTTCCCCAGTTGATTGATTACATTAAGAATTGCAAAAAAAAATTGCATTACAAGTTTTCTGAAATGTTATGTTTAAATCAGGCGAATTACATATGAACAAACCCCTCTGTAAAACCCTTTCAGAATATTGGAATATAAATGTAAAGTTTGGTGTATGTCAGTGCTACTGAAGTGGAGATTTCTAAGAATAAAACTAATTTTGAGAAAACGGCATTTAAAGATATACTTTGATTAAAATCTACAAAAGCAAATAGATGAAGTGCTCTAAAAGATACACTTTAAGGTTAAATTATCTATGACTCTTTCCACTAGTCTAAAAAAAAAAAAACTTTATGACAAGCCAAAAAATTGATGTGTGAAAAAACTGTTTTTGCCTGTAGTGTCTATCCTTAAGAACAAACTACTCTTTTTAAAACTCAAAATTAATCAAATAGTACAGATTGGTTCAAATTACAATACTAGTGATTAGATGAAATGTCAATATATAAAAAAAATCTCTTTTTTTGTTGACTGGATGAACCTTTATCTGTAGATGTAGTTGTAGTTGTAATAGTCTTTTCAGAGGTGTGTGAAGGTGTGTTCACAGGAGCTGCTGAAAATAAAACAGACAAAAAAAAAGAGGAATTTAATAAACATTTGTAAAGCTATGTGAAATTATTTCAATAGGAAGACACATGTATATATTATATTCACAAACTGTTTGCATAAAACCCACCTTGGCGGACAGACAGAATAACTTTCTTCAATGTGTCTCTGAACCATTGATCAACTCCACAGTAATAAACACCAGAGTCTTTGAGTCTGAGATCACTGATGGTTACAGTGAAGAACCTTCCACTCACAGTATCAATCAAAGAGTATCTTCCTTCAGTGACGACCTGATCAGACTTTTCACTTTTAATCAAAACATGCCTTGATGATCCACAGGGATCCCGGCAAAGGTGCTTGGGTATATATTTGTAATCATCTGGATATGGACATCTGATCTCCACCTTTTCACCCACTGTTCCCTCAAAAACATCTCCAGACTTCATCGACACACCACTGAAAACTAGAGAAAACAGTTAAAATTTTCAGTTGAGTTAAACAGAGAAAAGCAGATAAATTACACTTTGTACACTTTGACCCATTAAAATTTCAACTACATAAAAACAATAATGCAGACAACTAAACACAAAGCTTTTAAAATAACTTCAAACTCAGTTATATATTTTTTTTAAAGTGATGAATTCAATGTGAAATTATCTATGATGTATTATGATTTTATCTAAATATTAAATATCATATTGTTATCACAAATAAATAATATTATACATGATTGGTATGGCTATCAAACAGGAAATGGATGGAAAATGTAAAGAAAGGAATATTACCTACGAAAAGACACAGAATCTTCGTGAGAGTTTTCATTCTCCATAATATCATATCCACTTCAAAACTTTAGGATTTGTAAAGGAACTTTAACATTAAAACTAACAATAATCTAAGTATAACATCTGCTTACTGTTTCTCACTGCAACAAAACTGCGTATGAACTTAAAAGATGCTCCACCCATAAGAGAGAGAGAGAGAGAGAGGGGGGGGGGGGGGGAGACTTCTACCTACAAATGGATAAACCAATGACTGTTACAGTCAACTGCTTACACACATTTTCAAAACTTTGCCTCTTTTTTTCAAAACTTTACACACGAATCCAAGAATTGCACACACAAAATGCCTCACATCTCTTGCAAAATGAAGCACTGCATTCAAAATATCATCAAACATTTGTCTTACGTTGCAAACACCATAATATTATATTTTTGGATATGTCAGTTATTCAAAACCTAAAGCTCTTCTTTCATGAGCTCCTATGTACATTTCTGTATAAGATTGAAAGTAATTGGCAGAGAGATGTTGAAAAATTCACAGTAAACACGGAAGCAAGATTTGAAACCAAAATTCTTATATTTTTACTGTAAATTTGTGGTTGTGAATACAGTATTACATAGCCCGAACAACCTATAACTTGACCTTTGTTTGGCCTATTTATAGGCCTAAAGCCATGAGTTTTTTTCAAATTGCTTACACACAATTTCTGAAACTATGGCTCCATTTCTTGAAACTCTACACACAAAACCACAAAACACGCACACAACATGCAAAACATCAGACATCTCTTGCAAAAGCAAACCCATCATTAAAAGCTATTTTAACTCTTCCAAAAATGGTCTTTTTGCGTAGGAACTCTACACACAAACATAAAATGATTAGCCACATACACACCAAACTACACAAAGATGTGAAAAATTTAAAATATCTTTTGTCTTTTGCTTGTTTGTGCAGTGGAGTTACAGGATTTTGTCACACGTAGTAGGCCTACATGAATCAACAAATTAACACTGTCTACAATATCTAATATAGCGAGTATATTAGTAGTAACAAGATCTAATACGGCGAGCTGGATGGCACCTTGTATGGCTGACATCGCCGTCGGTGTATGAATGAGAGAGTGAATGGGTGAATGTGAGGCAAAATGTAAAGCGCTTTGGTGGCCATTGGGTCTGTGAAAGCGCTATAAATGCAGTCCATTTACCATTTACCATATACAACTTTATTTCTAAAGTGCTGTGTGTGTGTGTGTGTGTGTGTGTGTGTGTGTGTGTGTGTGTGTGTGTGTCTGTGTCTGTGTGTCTGTGTGTGTCTGTGTCTGTGTCTGTGTGTGTATGTAATACATATATGTAAATATTTACACAATAAACATATAAAAGGGGTAAAAAATATGTATTTATTTCTCAAAAGTTTTGATTTCTAAGTGGTCAGTTTATATAGTCCTATAAGTATTTTCACACATGATCATTGGGTGTAGGTAATCGGGAAATGATTGTGGCATTTAAGTGGCAGTGTTTCCCAAATGAAACAAAAGAGCTGTTAGTTTTGAATGATGTGTCTAATGTAGAGAACTGTGTTTAGAGTTTTGCAAAAAGTTTGTTTTTACAATTTTAACCTGAGTGTAAAGCGTATTATGTGCTTGTAGTTTTGCAGACTTGGTCTGAAGATTCGGTACATGAGTGAATGGCTGAGTGAGCCTCAAGTTCCACTTTTAGTGTAAGCAATTTGAAAAAACTGTAAGTAAAGCAATGAGTGTTTGCACATGTTAGTGTGAGGCACTGATGAATTAATGTGGCATTTTGATAGGTTGTGTTTGATAAAGGAAATCAAGATACTTCATGTTAGATGTTTGTATTACATAGAGAATTGTGTGTTGTGGTTTGCTAAAATTGAAAATTGAGTCGAAGGTCAAGAATCGGTGTATGGTTTTCCAGATTTGGTGTGTGGTTCTGTTGTTTGAGTGTCAGGTTTCAGAGATTGTGTGACAAGGATTTTGTGTGTAAGCAGTTGAAAAAAAACTGTAAGCAGTGAAACTACAACATAAACAATCAGAAAGAAGCAAACCTTATGTTGTTAATAAGGAAGAGAGAGTGACAGCAAGTCCAAAAAAAGACTAATAATTTGTACAGAAAATCTTATTTTCTGCTCATTTTTCAAATATATGCAAAACAAAGATGCAGTCAAACACAATATTGCAAAGTACACATTTGAAATCAACATAAGTTAAAAAGTGTGTGTGTGTGTGTGTGTGTGTGTGTGTGTGTGTGTGTGTGTGTGTGTGTGTGTGTGTGTGTGTGTGTGTGTGTGTGTGTGTGTGTGTGTGTGTGTGTGTGTGTGTGTGTGTGTGTGTGTGTGTGTGTGTGTGTGTGTGTGTGTGTGTGTGTGTGTGTGTGTGTGTGTGTTCTGACACTCAGATTAATTGCAGTGCCTTCAGGAAATGAAGTTTGTGAAGGGAAACAGCCTCATTGCAACACCTAAGCTATTTCAGTGTGCACATGTATTCAAGAAAACAACACACTAACTTAACCCTCTAAACCTAACACATTTTTTAACTCTGCTGATATCATATCACCATGGTTTAGTTAAACGTTTTTACTGACATTTTATGGTTTAATATTCCTAATCAGGTTGTATGCTACTCTTAACTGCTTTGTGTTGCCTTGTTAAGAAACAAAAATTTACATCAGTCATCAGTATATCACATTTACCTTTAAGTTGTATTACTCACTCCTTTGTGCTTCATTAAACAACCTTTCTGTGTCAAAGCCACAAATGGTCACTTTTTCCACAAATCTTGACTGTGATTTTGCATAAAGCCATTCTTTCAGCTATTTTATATTCTGTGTCTGTGTTTGACTTGTTATTCTCAGGGAAAAAAGAGACAGATATAGAATAAACAAGCTTTAATATAAGAGACACTGGGGCAAAATAAATTCTCGCAATAATAATACACACCATCAGTCTAAAAAGACACAAGAAGAAGACACACAGAGAGGTGTAAGAAAAAAAAAAGAGTTCTGTGGATTTCATAATTGGTCATAAAATTTGATGATCTCATTAAGTTAGGCAGACTATTAAACAAATAAACAATGTTTTTTTAAAGCCACTTTGCATTTACATCACGAGAGCTAATTCTGTTATTTACATAGGAAATGCACACAATTCATTTAACACACCAGCTCAGTTCAATGTCACAACCTGACGCACATGTCCACAGCAGGATGTTTGCAGGCAGACATGCCTGTTTTAGCAAGTTGATCACATGCATCATTTCACATCAACAGGGTTCTTAAAACTGAGTGTTTTTTTAGAGAGAATGAGATTGATCTAATTATTTATCCTCAGTGGTGTGTGATGAGTGAATACAAATCGTTTACATCATCCTGAGGTGCAGGACCACAGTGCTGCACGGTGGAATATATTACAGAAGAGTTGGCATCTCTAGCTGGACCAGCCAGGCTGTTCTCGGTCACCATTTCATCGTAGATGTGATGGACATCATCTACAGTCTAGGAGATACAGGGGTACACATACAAAAAATGTAATTGTGTACATTCAACATGTTTAGCGTAATCTTGTTTAGATGTATACAATGTTGATCAATTGTATTTTGTTGGGTTAATCTGGTTTGTAATCAGATATTGGTGTTTTAGGATAAAATTGTGTAAGAGCAGATGTTCCCATACCCGGTTGAGATCTGCTGAATCTTGAACTGAATTTTCAGGAACGGCACCGTTCAAACCTAAAAGAAACATGATGGTGTGGAACCCATTCAAAGTGACTTGAAGTGCTTTAGTGATCTAAACCAAATAAATGATGATATAGCATTACTAAATACCCAGCAGTCATACCAGGTCTCTATAGGCCTATAGGATTTTTAAAAAAGATGCAATGGGGCTTTTTTTTTTAATCACTTTTGGGCATTTGATTCAGATCAAGTCTTTATGTGTGTGTGTGGTCTTACTACATCTGGACGTTGAGTGTGATCTTTTCCTACAGAGAAACACTACAGCCACAAGAACCCCAAACACCAGCAGCACCAGAACACCTGCACACACCACAGCCACGCTGACTGAAATAGAAAGAGAAAGACAAAATGTTATTATTAAGTTTGCTGTAGCATGTTAGGCATGTAAACATGTTAGGACAGTCATTATTAAAAAATCTGGTATGAACACGCTACACAAAGAAATTCATACAAAACGATTCTGCCTTTGACTTGACTGTTGGTGAGAACTGCTCACAAGAAGTAGAGTTATCTGAGAGAGAGACAAAAAGAGAATTACAGATTTATAAAAAAGAGGCAGAATCTCTCCTTTGAAGGTGAAAGTGTAAAATACTCAATTTCATTTTAAATATAAATGTTTTTCAAAAGCAGGCCCAACCAGACTAATTTGAGTATGTTTTTCTTAAATAATAAATAATCTAACTACTGTTGTAAAATGTATCATTAGTTTGCAGACTGGATGTAACTACTGCAGAGGTGAGTGTTGTTGTTGTCCATGTAGATGTAGTTGTAATTGTCTTTTCAGAGGTGTTTGAAGGTTTGTTCACAGGAGTTGCTGAAAATAAAACAGACACAAAAAAAGAGGAATTTAATAAACATTTGTAAAGCTATGTGAAATTATTTCAATAGGAAGACAAATGTATATATTATATTCACAAACTGTTTGCATAAAACCCACCTTGACGGACAGAGAGATTAACTTTCTTCAATGTGTCTCTGAACCATTGATCAACTCCACAGTAATAAACACCAGAGTCTTTGAGTCTGAGATTCCTGATGGTTACAGTGAAGAACCTTCCACTCACATTATCAATCAAAGAGTATCTTCCTTCAGTGACGACCTGATCAGACTTTTCACTTTTAATCAAAACATGCCCTGATGATCCACATGGATGCTGGCAAAGGTACTTGGGAATATATCTGTAATCATCTGGATATGGACATCTGATCTCCACCTTTTCACCCACTGTTCCCTCAAAAACATCTCCAGACTTCATCAGAACGCTGGTCAAAACTAGAGAAAACTTCATCACGTCAGTCTATTTGTTAAACTGAAACATTTTTACGCAATCCTTTTTTGCAAAAATATACAGAGGGTCATCAGACAAACAACAGCTGAACCAGTTCAATTTAACTTTAAATTCACTCACATTTATATCTACATTGATAGCCTGCAATCAGATGTCAATGTAATGAAACCTTGACATCATTCTGAATTGTCAATTCAGGCAAGATCATTTAACCCTGGAATAATGTAACTATCAATGAAATGTGGATTACAGAACTTTTGTTTGTAAAACACCTTAGTCAAATTTCAGATCATTGGTATATTTTACTTAAACGGTCACTAAATTCATGAAGTTCCTCTTTTAACATGCACAAGACTAATACAAGATTAATGATTATACATCAAGCAGGAAAAAAGTATTTACCAGTGAAAAGAGACAGAATCGTTAGATGGGTTTTCATTCTCCCTAACTTATCATCCTCTTCAAGCAAGACATGATCTTTATAATAACCTAACATAACACAACATTATAGTCTGCTTCCTGTCTCTCACTTGTCTGATCCATCAGTTAACACACACACACAGAGAGAGAGAGAGAGAGAGAGAGAGAGAGAGAGAGAGAGAGAGAGAGAGAGAGAGAGAGAGAGAGAGAGAGAGAGAGAGAGAGAGAGAGAGAGAGAGAGAGAGAGAGAGAGAGACCTACAAAAGAACAAACCAATGACAGTTTAACAGTAGGACCAGGGCCGGATTTATGTATAGGCATAGACACATGCCTGCTCACATGTACAGTAACAAGATTGTGAAAGGCAAAAAAAGCCAGAGGACAAGAGAGCCAGTTTTTCAGCTATTAATATTACTTATTTTTTCTGCTTCTATTGCTAATATTTTAAGAAAAAATGCCTCATTATGAGTCAATTAATTGTTCTGCTATAAACTATACACTATTTTGAGCTAATTTTTCGTACCTATTTTTTGCACAACAACATCCGCCACAATATTTATATACCATACCATGTCTTTAATATTTTCTCCTACAAAGGAATGAACTACTTTGAAAACTATTAGTCTGCATTTCATCTTCTGTCTCTTTTGCCACCTGTAGGTGGGATCCATGAACTGCACCAGTTATATTAAATGATACTGTAGTAGCCTTCTACAGACAAGTTAGATGTCTTCTTTATCCACAAAATCAACTTAAACTTCAAGCTTTAATTGCATATTCAGTGCACATAAAACGACCAAAGTAAGATAATGTGATGATTTGAGTTCATGTAGGCAATTTTCACACTTGACCCCTCATGAATAAAAGAGAGCCTGCTAACTACAAAGCCAATATATGTAAGGGGTGGAACTTAAAGGTCCAGCCACACCCTAATCCTATAATCCCTACATGTAATCAAGGTCAAGATCCACCCATCTGACTCATTTGGCTCTGCAGTGAACACCAAATCAAACTTAATCAATACCAGGAACCATTGGTTTATTCACCAGCTATAAAAATGAAAATCATAAAAATAAAGTACAAATCATAAAATTCAAACGGCTAAATCCACATCGGTTAGGACTACATATACAGAGATCTCAGGTAAGTAATATTGCAAATTCAATACTTCTAAAGTGACATCTACAGTATGTATCACAAGTAAAAACAGTTGTGGTTGTTTTCATCTTGATTTATAAGGGATAAATACGAAATACTGCCCATTGACAAATGGATGATGTTTGCAATGTGAAAAGAAGCTGTTCAATTTGTTCTATTTTCCCTCCTTATAAACTATCATTTATTCATGTTTTTAAATACATGGATAAAGCATTTAATTGATTAAAAATATGCTGCAGAAAGCATGGGATTAACTTTCACCTTAATATCTTGTGCATATGCCCTGCACTACTTTCATTGGTACAAATGGAGGATTGTTTGATAAACAACTTGAAGAATAGCATTTGCATTGAAACTATGATGAATTAAAGATATACAGTACATGACCACAAACAGATCTGCTTATGAAATTAAACACAATATCACATACATAATCAATATAGTAGTTTATAGTTACCATGTACTGTAAAATTTAAAGTCACCCGTAAATCAAAATTGACAATTCTTGTTGTTTTTTTTATTCAATATTGCAGTATTTATTATACATGATGTATCCGTGCACATCATTATTTTATTTTTTTCATGTGCCCTCGTAATTTTTAATTAAAATACCTTCCCTTTCCTCCTCTCTAGTATGTTGACTGTTTAACTGTCAGTCCAGGGGAAAATCACACTCAAGTGTCCCACCTCAGATGTTTAGATTTCAGATAATCCTAATCAGCTGTATTTCAGAGTGTCTAAACCAGTTACGGTAAGCTGGAATCTCATCTTGATGATTCAATGACTCCACAGATGATGATGGGGCACTGGAGGACTGCAAGGGAATCTGGTAGAAGCACATACCCTGGACAGATGCTATCTCAACCGCTTAGGGATCTCAACCTGAAAGGTAGATTAAAAAGAAGATTAAGCATTTATAATAAAATATTCAAATTTAACTTCTCTTTTGATAAAAAATAACAATATGTTATTAAAGGGGTCATGAACTGCATTGTTTTATTGTTTTATAATGGGGTGCACTTAAAATGTTAGTATGATTTTTACATAATTTTTTTTCATAATTTAGAAATAAAAGCCATTTTTCCTACCCTGATTTTAGCCCTCTGTTTTCAACGCTGTTTGAAGGGTGCTAGACGTCAGTGTAAACGCCCACTGCTGTGATTGGCTGACATCTTTGCATATGAAATAGCTAGTATTACATGTAGAACTCTCTCGAAAACTTTAGCACGTTTTTACTATTATAGCTCTCAAGATTAACTAATATATAGCATTATATTTAGATTGTGGCATGAAAGGTTGCAGTGGTGAGCATTGTGGCCAATCACAGACATGTTGAGCGCATGAATGCAGTGATCTCGTCATTGCAACTTGATTTCTAAACACTAACGAATGCTTTCATCATAACTAACAGTGCAAACACAATGTAAATAAGAGATTCGTTGATTATAACCAAAGACTATAGATAAAAGGGACTTTGCTATAACAGGAGTTTTGGGGAGAGTCCAGAACTCAGTCACTGATAAACTCGCGCTCTTTGATTGATAGCTCCAGTGATGTAAAGGGAGTGTTCTTTGATCGCTTTCTAAATAATTTATTTAATCACAGTTTAAATAACAGATTATTTTCATCCTAAAAGAAACAATGTGAAGTTGACCGTTTAGTCACTGGTTTGATTTACTGACACATAGACAAAGAACATCTGACTGTACATGAATTGTTACATATCAGAAATCACTGTCACAGATCAGGCATTAGAATTAACAGTTACTTTTGTGGCATTACTGTCGAGTCCATTTTGTGAAATTTTTTATTTCAAATCCTGGCTCGAAATTGCGACTGATTTAAGAATTCACAGTGAAATGACCACATTCATAGCATTAGGATCCTTTGGAATGTATTGTTTTTTGTCAAGTGATCCTGCTCTTCTCTCCTCGTCATCTCACTATCAGTGGGCGGGGCCAAAGTTGCAATGATGAAGTAGGCATTGATTTTCTTCAACACTTTGATAACCCTATATAATCATTTATTTTTTTAAGAGCTGACAGGACAGATTATGTGGGCAATTTCATATATGCGTCATTCACCTGTGTTGATAGTCACATGACATCATATCCATACAGAGAAAAGCCTGCTCTAGCTGTGTGGGTACTGGGTAACGTGAGCCTGAAAAATTTGTGTCATTATGGAAATAGAACTTACTATTTTAACGGAGCTGAAGTAATCACTTTTTCAAAAGATGTACTCAAAGAGTAAGTGTAGAATGTAGAATGAAGCCTTCACATTTTTCTTATTAAAAGGGTGATATTTCAATGTACACTCATGTTCTTGCTTGTGTAGTAACATCTATGAAATGTGATGTCCGTTTCACTTGCCTTTTTGAGAGCGTTCATGCTGCAGTTTCTGATAGAGTGCAGGAGCTGATCTCTGGAGCTCCTGTCCGTCTGTCGGACAACAGCACTGCTGTCTGGTTTCCTCTGAGAGATTGGGGTCAGCGACCTCCTCAGTGCCTGGACATCTAACGCTGGACTGGGAGGTGGGGGAGGAGGCGGAGGAGCTTGTCGACTTCCTGTTGCTCCTTTTTTCTTTCCTGTTACCTCAGAGGGGAGGGGTTTAGACGGTGGCGTTGTGGGAGGAGCTTTAGGAGTTTCCTGAGCAGAGGTGAATTTTGAAATGGCAACAAATTTAGAGTCTTTCTTCTGAGTGTAAATGGACGGTGTCAGCTTATTTGTTTCAACTGAGCTCTTATCTTCACGTGGGGTTTTGTGGGTGGTGTCCAGTCTGGCGAGTTTTTGAGCTTCTAGTCTTTGCTGCCGCTTCCTGTCCATGTTTCGGCTCAAGATGTTTGTCATGGTCATCCTGGGCCCAGCCAGCTCGAAATGATATCCCAACTTCAGCAGAGAAGAGTTGTCACGTAAGATTTTGGCCATCTCCATCTCAGTCTTCCCTCCACAGATGTGTCTCTGGTTATGAAACCTCAGCTCCATGAGCGTGCTGCTGTGCTGAAGAGAGTTGATGATGGCCAGGATGCCTTTGCCTGTCAAATGGTTTGAGTCAAGGTTGATTCCGGTCAGGGTTGAGTTATTTCGCAGGGTTCCAGCGATGGCGAACGCAACATGATCATCCGCTCTCGTGTTTGCGAGGCAGAAGGTTTTGACGTGAGTGTTGCTGCGAAGACCCTCAGCAAACTGTATCAGAGTGTCAGTCTTAATGGCATCTGAATTATTAACATTGACCTCTGTTAGTTCAGGGTCGTCGCTGCGAACCTGCTCTAGAAGGTCGTCAAACATGCTGGAGCCAGCATCACTGTCCATATCTTCGCTAACCGACTCATCTTCCTCAGTAGTAACAGAACGATCATCTGCACCATGACAGTTACCCGAGCTATTACAGGTGGAATTGGTAGATATCTTCACCTCATTGTTTTCTGACTGTTTTACTTGTTCTTTTTCTCTCTCTTTCTGTGCTCTGGTTGTATCTCTCTGTGAGAGACTTTTCTCATCCACCTCTTCTCTCGCCTTTCTTCTGCTTGTCTCTTCTACATTTTTAATTCTGCTTTTCTTCTCCTCCGTTTCTCCACCTTTTAGGTTTAATCTTCCTACTGCTCTGTTGTTCTTGGGTTCCTCTATGGTTTTAGTTCTGCTTTCGTCTTGGTTCTTGACATATGCTTTATTGTCTTTTACTTTTAGGCCTTCGGCATCTTTATCCCCCTGCAGTTTGGAGACAAACCCTCGTATTTTGGAGTTTTCACACGCTCTTTTCTCCTCGTTCCTCCCTCTTTCTTTCTTATCCTCTTTTTTCTCTTGCAGTTTGGATATGAGGTCTAGAGTTTTGCTGCTTCCTCTTTCTTTCATAGAAAGTTCTTTTCCACTTTCTGTCTTATTACCTGTCTTCTCTGCTTCTCTCTTGTCTTCCTCCATTTTATTCTCTCTGTCTTTTACTCCTTCATCAGGTAAACCCTTAAAGTCATCCTCCATTTTTCTCTCTCGCTCCTTATCTTTTTCACTCTCTGCATTTCTGCTCTCTGTGTCGGGAGGATCCCTGCTCTGCGACCTGGAAAACTCTCTGCTCCTCATTTGGCGGAGTCGATCTCTCCTTCTGCCATCCCCTCTTGCCTCTCCCTTCAACAGTAAACACAAAAGAAATTAGTCACAGCACATTAAATCTGAGAAACTGTTTGTCTTTTGGTAGTTGGCATATCTGATTTTGGCTAATCGTGATCTGACATTTGACATCTTAATCACCGTATTCACATTCTATTAGTTCCCATTTGCTTTCATTTCAGTGTAAGTATAGATAAATATCAACATTATCATAATACATGGGGGCATCAAACAAAGGAAACATATCTAGAATAAATACAGCCAATGGCTGGACCCAGCTTGACTTGACTAAGTTATTTTTAGTGGTCATTAAAAGGGAATGAACATACTGTGTAGATTTGTGTGCCATTGTTTGAAGAAGTCTTAAAACTCTCAGATGTGACCTTATAAGGCAGCAAAGGGAGGAACATTCAGGTCTGGAATGCCGTCCTTGACTATTCCAAAGCCTCACTGTGGCCAAGCTTCAAGTAAACACATTCACAAATCGCTGAAGTGCATCACTCTTGACTACTGTAAAATAACCTGAACATAAATTTCATTCTCACAGCTGTTTTACTGAATACACTGGAAGTGACTATTCAGTTAGCAAATTCACACTGCCAACACAATGATGCACCTGAACAGACTTCACAGAAGAATATCAATAAATCGAAAGATTATCTCTAAAAGTCCAAAAATAAGCTATAAATGGGGATCACTGATTATAAAGAGCACAATGTTACTTAGTAACTTGCGAGGTTCCTGTGTGTGTGTTCTGTTGCTCATGTTGAACATGTTTCAAACAAACACTTCAGTGTCTCAATAGAGTTTAAAAGTAGTTTGTGGCCCCTTGAGTGCATCTCACATTACTAGTGCTTCATTAGCACCTGTTTAAAACACAAGTAGCACTCTCCAAAACCATAAGGAACACCATCCCAGAAGAACCAGACCATCTGTTCTGTTTCTGTAGACAATTATTACAGCATCCTCTCAGAAAATCACGTTGAGGTGAACCCAAAAGTGAATTAATGCAGCGACTCTGAAGTCAAAGGTTAGTTCTGCATAGTTTATATGGAGTGCCAACTACAAATGATTATTCCGTAGAACCACCGAAGGGAGAGAGAATTCTGTGTTACAACAATAAACTAAACCATGATATAAAATGTTTATGAAGACATTTGGCTGTAATGAAAAATTAAAAGCTTCACCCAAGATTTTTTACCCAAGAGAAGTTTACACTGTTATACTAAAATAAATAACCTCTTGTCAGAAGTGTTTTGGAAATTTGTTGTTGAAAAAAAGCTTTGACTTACACTTGGAAGTACAAAGTGTTTTGTAAATGTGCACCACAGGCAAATACTCCAAGGCAAAGAAAAAGTTCATCACCGCCAGATGATGGCAACATTATATGCCATAAGGGTCCCGGGTGTGCAGCAAAACGGGTGTTGACATGTGCAACTGACAGCATGTCAGGCACGTAGGCCAGACTGATTAACATGGATCACAGACAGTACTAAACCAGCCATTCAATGTGTCCACAGATCTACAAAAATGTCACACTATGATGAGATCGTAAACTGTAAAAGACTGAATGACAGATGAACACAGGTCAGCTCTCCATTCTTTAAGTCTCTAAACTTGGCCACTGAGAGCAAACTATTCCCATAGGGAAAGTACATCAATGTGTCAGTGTATTTTGGAATTTTGGATATAGTTTGAAATAACTCAGTCTTGAATACTTTTTAAGTGTTTTAAAGATTTAAGGGTTTTGTTGATGCAAAAAAAGCTGTTAAAACAGTTGGATATATTTTTAAAAATAATAATAAAGAAAATGATTTTACATAATAGCCTCCTAATAATAATAATAACTGTTGTTGTTTGTTGTTGTTGTTATACGCATCACCTCTACGCTCAACTCTCTCCTGATCAGTTTCTTTGTCTCCCGCTCGCAGTAGTCCAGCATAGCCTCTCTGTTATATCCTCTGGACGGTAGTTTCTCCGTCTGATTCCGCTGGCGGAGTCCCACCGGTACGCTCGGGTCGGGATCGATAAAAACGAGCTCCCGCTCGAGTTCCTTCACTTCCTCCGGTGAGAGCGTAGCGAGGAGCAGGTCCGTGTCCGAGTCATCGCTCCCCTGCTGCTCCGAGACCATTGGTCTAGACATTTTCTTTGGAAATATTTAATGTTTACTAGCCAAATATGATGTTTTAGTCTTCGAGAATGCAGCTGACCCAGCTAAAAGAGTATATTTTCCCTTCACATATGCCGTTAAAATCCATGAAAAAAGGGGTGCTGCAGCAGACTGCAGAAGGTCTCGCGCTCAGAGCGCCTTTCACGAGCTCCAGCTCAAGTCGGAGCGCCAAGACGCATTCCGCGCGAACCTTCACATTTGCGTGACCGCGTGCAGCTTGCGCGAGAGCGTCTGTCTATCTGTCACTCAGACAGGTTGTGTGTACCCTATTTTATGCGCCACTGCTCCTCCAAAGTCATTTTCTCACAAGCCACCTCCATTGACTGGAAAAGTTTTAAAGATTTATTTCTGTCATATTCTTTTCACTTTCAGTAGCCTACATGGTCAGATATAACAAAAGTTCTCATTGGCTTTCCTCTACCTTTTCCTCTTGTAGTAGATTAGGCCTACTTGCTGTTGGCATTCCACTTGTTTCACCACTTTCTGTATTGTTTAAGCCCGAATTTATTAGTGGTTCTTTTGGATAAATACTGGGGTTCTCACTGGTGTTGCGACATAAATGTTGCTATGGATGTTGATTGTGTTTAACTTGTGAATGAGTTAATCATATAATTAGTAAAGTAAAAAAAAAAAAAAAAAAAAAGGTAGAGCTATAGATGGGATGTCTGCTAAATTAACACATTAAAAGAAAAACTAACAGGGTTAAAAATGACCCAAGGTTAAGAAGTTCAAGCATGAAAGGCTTAGTGTTACCTAAAGACATCTATACCTGCAGCAGAGAGGGTCAAATTCAGTTTTATTTAAACAATGCTAAAATAACACTGGTCTGTGATCAGTGTAAAGAAATCAGATGCACCACCATACCACTGATCATTAAATGAAGAGAAGAGGCTTTGTCTGATATTAGAACAAAGAGTTTTATTTCACACTATAAATTGGGACACTTTTTTTTTTTTTAAAGAAGCTAGTCAAACCCCAAACCCTAACACCCCCCACCCTCACCCTTCAAAACGGCTTGAGCAGGTTTTGTGGCAGTTCATTACACTCTTCTGTCTGCTACAAATCTGGCGTCTGTGTGTCCGGTACATATCCTGAATATCTGACCACCATCTCTAAAAGCACCAACACAACCGAGACCGTCCAAACCTGAAACTTACAAAGACATTATTGCTCCGATAAATAAAACTAATCTACAAAAGGAAATAAAACAACACAACGGAGAGAATCCCAGATGCCTGTGTACTGAAACGGCAAGTTTCCAAAAAATAGTTTCTCTGTATTTATTATTTATTGTATTTGGTGAAAACTGTTGGTTTGTCTTGTGTTGTGGCGTTTCTGGCCGTGCATGCAGAAGACCTTCGCTGTGTTTCACGAGAGCGTGTCTCCTCCACACCAGAAAGCAACACAAACACAAACCCATGCACCGCTATATTCATTCAGCATTTAGCATATTTATCATTGTTTTAGACAATCACAAACAGTTCGACAGAAGGAAAAAAGCTGTAAAAATACAAAAAGGTGACCAAATAGTATCATTCAGGACAATAGAGTCCAACAAAAAGAGTAAAATAGCACCGTTGTTACAAAGGTCAGAGGTCGTAGGATAGGGAACGGGGATGGTCAGTTACACATCCAGGAGAAGGGATAGAGGAGGATGGGGTGGGAGACCGATTGACACCCTCGTCCATCTCACTTCCGGCGGCCTGCATTGGTTGTGTTGCAGGTCACGCACATGTAATCCTCCTCGGCTGCGAGTTCTGCCGATACCCCCACACATATCATATGGAACCAGCGGTTACAACAGTCACACTGCACCCAGTACACCTGAAGCAGAGAGAAACCAGTCAAAACACATTCAAACACACACACACAAGAGTGATCCTTAAAAGATGGCGATCTCGATTTACACACCCATGTGATCTTATTCCTAATAAATGACACTGATTCGGCTATGTCATCTAAACCTTTGACAGTCGTCATGTATAGGTATAAAAAAAAAAAACAGCTTCACAAACAACCACACAGTATAGTTATTTCTGTGTTACAATAATTCAAATGATCACAGAAGTACTTGGATAAAAGTTTATATTTCGGATATAAATACTAATATCTACGATAGCAGTCTAAATAGAGTAAATCAGCTTTTGAATGTAACTTGATGCTTCAAATAAAGATTGTATCGATTATATCATTACACAAGTTAGGTGGTGACAAGTGGCTGTTAAAAATATATTTGTCTTTAGTTTCCATCCAAAGTTGAGAATTTAACTTGTGCTCAAATTCGAATAGCGCATAAAATATTTGCCATAAAGCAGCGTTCCATACCATGTGTTTTTTTGTTTTTACTTCAGGGATAATACACAATAATAATACATAACAATATGTAAAACGGGCCAGATTTAGCCAACACTGGCCAATTTTAATCCGTTGTCCCTCGGCAGGTTGATGTTAAGGACAGGGAAGAAAGAAGGAAACATTTTTTTTTTTCAAAACAAACAATTTTAAACCAAACATAAAAACTACCATACCAGAATGTCTATAAATGTTCACAGTTTTGATTCTACAGTAATCAAATTTTGTACAGTAACAAAATCATAATTTCCTGGGATATTGGTATAAAAATATTTGTAATAAAAATGGAAGTTGCTGGAATCGGGGAAGCCACTGTCATGTTATCATGCGTTCGGATGCGTGGCATTTGGGAACGCAATCATGCGAGACACTTCTGGGAGGTCATTATACCAGACTTTGGCTTAGGCATTTCAGAATGATCAAACCAACATTTGAGATGCTGTGCCAGAAAATTGGTCCGGTGGTTAGTTCAGTTATCCAGTCACATCCACTGTTGAGGCAAAGTCACGTGAGTTTTTGTTGTGCACCGGGGGACTTTATTCGTTATTATTATTATTCCATCGTAGTTTATACGCATGTCTTATTATAACATATAAAAATAATCTGCCTCAATTGAATTTATGCGCATCTTGGCATTTCCATCCAGTGTTTATGCGATATCCAAAAATGCACATTAAAATAGGTGGATGGAAACATACCTATTGAATCATTCGTTCAAGAAAATTGTTTTAAAAATGCTGATTCATCCAGGAATGACTCTTTTTGAGTGTGTCATTGAATCATTCATTCAAACTGATTTCTTTTTTTAATTTATTCAAATGAATTCAATATTATTAAAGAGACTGGAGCAATTATTTGGTCAGAACCCCTTGTAAATGACGTAATTTTGTTCTGTTGTGCAAAAAAAATGTGCAGCTCTCATTACGTTCACTCCCTCACCTCTTCCCCCTCCGGCTGGAGACAGCTCTCTGCCGGACACAGGGTCATATCCTCCTCCGAGTCTTCCGACTGAGACACGTCTGATGCAGAGACAGATGCTGCTTTCCTCTCTCTCCGCTTCTCCGTACCCATTCTCTGCTTCTTGCTTTTCGGCTTTATCCCTCTATCCCTGATCTCAGTATCCTCTCTGTTCATTCGCCGCTTGGCTTTCTTTTCTGCAGAAGTGATTGCATCTCTCTTTAGAGAAAGAAAAAAAAGAGCAAGACAGAGAGCAGTAATGAAAATAAATTCTTTCAGGCTGAGGACCCTTTGGTGGATCAACAAAAGTTTCCACAAAAATATTAAGAAGCGCAACTATTTAACAATGATGATGATAATAACTAAATATGCTGATTTGGATCTCAAGAAACGTATCTATGTTGTATAGTAGTGATAGCTGCTTTGCCATCACAAGAATAAATTACATTTTAAAAATATATGAATAGAAAACAGTTATATTTTAAATTGTAATAATTGCACAATATTACTGTTTTACTGTGTTTTTGATCAAATCAATACAGCTTTCATGAGAATAAGAGACTTCTTTACAAAACATTTAAAAAAGACCCCAAACCTTTGAACTATGCATTTATATACTTTTGTCAAGATGCTTATAAAGCAATTAAAATAATCATTATTGATGTACAGAGTTATATACTTATATAGTTTAATTTGAATGAGGGAGGAACCTTTAATTTTTAACTTTAGCTTAGAAGTTAACTTGATTCTGTATTTGTTTTAAATGCATTTTTTTATTATTTGATATCAAACAATAATAGCTAGACCCCACTGAAGACCTCATTCTAAAAAAAACTAATGAGCTTTAAATAAAACAAATAGTGGCCGCCTACTTTTTCAGCAGCCTCGGTTCTGTAAGTATTTTCCATACGGAATTGAATAAAGATACTCAATTGTTTAAAAAAATCCTCAACCATTAACTAAACCAACAAGCTCCAAGATAAATTACAATATCAAAGTTTGATCTGAAACAAGAAAGCTGCTTCAAAGATTAAAGACTTGTATGAAGCAAATTGTGTATTCAAGTGAAAAAACAACAGTACTATTGACTGATATATGGAATGTATAGAATACAATATATTTGAAGTCGCAAAATAATAAAATATATACATTGTTTGAGAGGGTAGGGAAACTCATTAAATTATATAATTCAAGATTTATGGAAGTGGGAAGTTGCTGCTGAGCTCTTTGGCCATAGCATTTTAAACCCTGATTATTCTTCTCAATTAGTGATTGAATTGTATTTCCTAAACAGCATGAAAGCCTCGCACTCTTTACCTCTCTCTGCGGCGAGGAGTGTTTCTGTGTGAGGTAGGGTGTGTGTTCTGTGTGGGAAGTGTTTGTAGTCGGGAGGCCGGACAGCAGAAGTCTGTAAAGCTGCTGGGTCTCGGGGACAGAAACCTGCAGGAGCAAACCCTCCACCATCAGTTCCTCCAACTCCGAACTGAGACCTGGAACATAGACAGAGTTTCATTTTAAAACAAGCAGTCATTCTGCACTTGCTCTGCAGTGAGATTTCAGAAAATAGGAAAATGCTCTGTTTGTGTATGTGAGAATGATACAGACCCTGGAGAGGGATACAGCGTTGCTCTGTGTAAAACACAGTCTGTTCCTGCCCAGAAACATGCCAGTCCTGACTCTGAGATGGAGATCCACACAGCTGCTACAATAA